GAATAGAAGTTTTTTACAGAAACGCAGGAATAACAGTGCGGTGCTATTGTCAGGTTTAGTATTAAGCAAGAGTGAGAGTACTTCTACAGAGTAGTTACACCTCAATCCCCATATGCCTACGGTATAAGATGTGATTATTTTGTTGAAGCGCCATGAAGAGTACTGGAAAGTTATTTGCATTGTTCTGAACTTCGAAGAATCTGAAACGCTAAGAAAATAACGAAAGATCATTTTTATTTCATGATATCCGCGACAGGAAGAAAAAAAGACGTCTTTCTATCAGACATTCGCCGAGTCTCTTGCCAGGCTAACAACGACTCATTCAAGTAATTAACTAAGTCGAAGAACAACATGACACGAGTCTTGATCTGCTAATAATAAGATAAAAGTTAACAGACACAACTAACTGGAAAACTAGCTGGTATTATTCATTCGGTCAATGAGAAAATAATATGTATTCTCATTCTGAACAGTTGAAAAAACCGCTGATTGAACTTCACTGCAACTCATAGCTTGAATAATTCAATTTTTTGTCCTCTCATCATTTCTTATAATTCGGAAGAGTATATTAAGATACCCTATCGCTGATAACCATTAGGCGCTCAGGAAAACTGTCCATAAACTTTTTTCCATTCCGGAGAGAAAATGCGTAACGGTTAGAGTTTTTTTAAAATACAGATTCTTTTTAGAGTGTGTAACATGTCCCGTTTTAAAGATCCGATAGAAATATTAGCTACTAGTTTTGGCACATTTAAACTTTGCAGAATCGAAAAGTAGTTGCCATCAGATCTTAAAACGAGACAGACATGTTACGGACCTGAGACGTGTTTTAGTTTTTTCTTCAATTTAAGATGTGTTGCAGCTGTCTGCGTCGTTCAGTTTACGACTTATAAACAAAAGTAGGTGATGAAAAAGCGGTACCATGAGTGACAGTGCTTGGATTAGTTTATAAACTTGGCATTTGTGCCAATGGTAAAACTACTCTCTGTTGACTTTCCTGTGTGCAAGAAGCCAGCTTAGCACGCTAGTTGTAAGGTTTAAAAGCTAGCTTTCTTTCTAAAATGGTTGCAGGTGTTTCTTCGTGTTTATGCATATCTTCCAAAGATGTTACCGCAGCTTCTGTCAGCAAAAGTAGGGTCTAAGTTCTGCTACTATCAAGTAAGTTCTGCTAATCACGGTTAAAGTTTTTGTTTTTTCCTTGGATTAATTAAGACGGCGAAACACCAAAACAAGATAATTTGGAGAAACAACTGAATGAAATTAATAGTCAAATAGGAGCAGTCAGTGAGCTGAAAAATACAAATTTTTTGCCGATCGGAAGCACAAATTCTCTTGTAAAATTGCAAAAGGAGCGTGTTAAGATTCAAAAAAGACCTAAATATTTAAAATCAGCTACAGCAGCACAAACTAAATGCCGAATCTCGTGGCAATGTTTATTTCGTTCTTGATCGAGAGCAGTCGAGGATTGATCGCATGGTCGGCTTCTATTGAACTTGCCGAACATTATCAAGCGTATTTGGAGCGCAAAACTAATCAGTCAACAGGTGCAGCATCCTTAAGGTTTCAAAACAAACTATCGATCTGGTCATTTTTGTCAGTATTATTTTCAGATAAACGTAAGTAGATCATTGAAAGCAATTTTTATAAAAATGGAAATAATTCTTCACAATTGTAAAAAAAAAGTAAAATCTCTAATCCACTTTACTACAGAACTCGTTCCATTTCAGCTAAACAATTTTATGTTGTGAATTTTTCCGTTTGTCTTGAAGATGATATCTGACAAAATTTACACCTAATCAGATTGATTTTGTAATTCCCTATGTGCATATGAGTGATTCTGATAAAAATAGTACTGTTCGAACGATGTAAATGGTCCCAAGCGTTTCTTTTCTTAGTCTTGATGAATCACTTTAGGACTTCTCGCATATATTCATCAACGTTAGGCTTATAATTGCTGCAAGTAAGACTTTTCTGTGATTAACCGCGAACGAATTATGAGCAAAACATCCATATCTGACCGTTAATTTGATGTTGTCTTTCTGGTGGTCCAAATATGTTTGGTTTTGTAAATGTTATTTTCTCTGTTATTTTATGTGGAGCAATATATTTTTTTTCTCTCTTTCTTATAGAAGTTTCCTCGCTCTACTCAGTTACATTTTTACCTTTGTTATCGATTGTTCTTCTTTTTCACAAACTTGTTCAGAATTTGTGGTCCCGAAAAAATCTTTTTTTCTGTCCCGTAACCACATGGCCTTGGATCGCTCTGGTAATTTATTCAGTTTGCATTCTTTATATGCCAGAAGTTGACTAAATATATAGAATAGATAACAGCGAAAATCCGACCTCTCTATCACTTTTCGCTACCAAGTAATTCCCGTTTTACTGAAGTTATGTGAGGTTTGACTGACAGTTCGTCTCATAACCACCTACTATGCCACGCCTCAAACCGGGCTTGATAGAAAGTTTCTTTTCTACCATAAGTGTTGTCTACTCACACGATGATCCTGTATAAACAGCAAAGACTAAGATTGCGTTATACGGGAGAAAAGTAGAAAATACGAAGAAATGTCCCGTAACCGCGTTTTTCTGTTTCTTCTGTAACTTCAACATAACACCAGCAAATAAAGCTAAATTTCTCGTGTACAGGTTTCAAACATGTTGAATTTAATGAAGTACATAAATGGCGTTTAGATCAACCAAAAAATGATTTCCTAGAAAATGGGATTCTCTACAAAACCTGTTTCTTCTCTTCCACTGTTATAGAAAAAAATCCAGTGCGTTCGATTGCTTTTTGAATAGGTCAAGAACAAAAACAGCTAGAGAGTTCGAGCCTTCATCATTGGAAAGAGATTACTTGAGTGCATCTTTTCTTAACAGAAAAAAGTCTCAAAAATCTTTTTCGAAAGCAGGTTTTTTAAGAGATTTTCGGAAAATCAGGTCATAGCTAAAGAACTTCAAGTACTACTATTCATTTCAAAATATAGTGTGAGTGATTGCGACGTGAACAACTCGAGAACGGAATGAACTATCGAGATTGGGTTTTCTCCATCGTTTAGCCAAGACTGGGTGCGTAATAATATGCAGAAACCAAAATTTTTGGGTGGATCTTGGAAAACCACCTTATAGCTGGTTGTTTTACACAGAAAGCTATCAGTTTTTTTCATATATGGATAGTCCAAGGTGTTCTCTACCAAATAAGATCCAAGCGACATCTGGAAAATCCATGGTTCGAGAGCTACATGCGTTTTCTTTGAAGCCTTAGGACTTCTCTGCCGTTAGGTTTGGAACTGCCAGGAATGACAGAAAATATAGGTGACCAACTATGCTGAGTCTTGTGGTAACATTTGTTTTTCAAAACAGTTCCAGAATCCTAGTGAAAACGTACATTAGGTGAAATATCCCATTTTTGCCTATTTTTGAGTAAAATTCAAAAATTCATAACTCAGTCAAGATCAATCCGAATTATGTTAGAATATCAAGATGTACTCTATTTTATCTGCGCAATACCATGCCGCTCAATACAAGCTTTAGTATGAGCTTTACAAATCGGCAGAAAATACTTTGGTTTTTTAAAAGGGTTTTCTAGAAATCTTTCGGAGTACAAAAATGTTTTTCTACTATTATCAAGTAAAAAATCGTTTGGAGCAGGTAAAGTAGAGTATATCTTGATATTCTGACATAACTTGGATTGATCTTTACTGAGTTATGAATTTTACTCAAAAATACGCAAAAATCGGATATTTCACCTAATGTACGTTTTCACTAAGTTTTTGAAACTGTTTTGAAAAACAAATGTTGCCACGAAACTCGGCATGGTCGATCACCCATAGTGCATCCGACTTTAAGGCTACCAATAGTCACTGGATGCTAGTCCTGGGACTCCTACGAAATCCGACACAACTCCCAAACCGCGGGAAATCAAGGTCTCACTTTAGTCCCATTTTGAAGAAGACACCCCGGACTATCAGCCCATGAAAGCAAAGCAATAAAATCCTATTAGAAAATGTTTACAGACGGCTTAGTTTTCCAAACACCTTCTAGAAAACCTATTTCAGAAAAGTTTTCTGAAAACAATTTTGGTTGTAGAAGCATGCCTCCAAGTCTCCTCTTTCGAATGGCGAAAACCGAAGCCCTCTAGCTTTTTTCTATCAAAAGGTATTCAAAAAAGCAACCAAGTGCACGGTGTTTTGGCGCAGATAATAGAAAAATGTTGTCCAATTCTGGAAAGCAAAGTAGTGGTAGTTTGCTAACCCGTGTTTTGTGATACTCCTAGGTACACACTATCGATATATCATAAGGAAAAACCTAGACATTTACCTTTTGTTTGGGTCAAATTTTTTCACAAAAACGGTACTATTTTTATCAGAATCACTCATATATTTGTTAAAAACAGATTTATTCGTTGTTGTCTGTCACCTTTTCCTTGGTAACTAGAAGCAATAATTTACAAGATGTATGTTTTTAAAAACGACAATGCAAATCGTTATTTTTTTATAATTCAGCAAAATGTACAGCCTTGAAAAGAGCTACTTTTATTTTGGCAGTTTAGACCAAATTTTCGATGAGTTTTGCACTGGTTAAGAACACATCCTATTACACGAGGTTGAACATCAGGGAATTGATTACGCTTTTCAGAAACGATTTCTAATGCTTCCTACGTATGCAATCCCACGTATATGCAACATATAAAATTTCCTTCATTGCATCTATATATGTCTTACGACATTCATAAGGTTAACGAAAAAGCTCTCATTCTGTTTTATTTGTCCTACAAAGAACATATATTTTACATGAATAATTATTTCTTACTCGATTTCTATACACAATACTTTTCTTCGTTCTATTCAGTCATAGCTGCTGATGGAATTATTAACAAATCATCGCACTTAACTTGAAAAAAAACAACTTTTGTTATTATTTACATATTAAAACGAACATTTTCAAATCAAAACTACGACGACAGCAGATTTATATTTCCACTGCTATCAAAGCACTTAAGAATGGTACCAAACTGGATCACTATTTGGCTTGATCTAACATATGATACCTCAGCCACTACAACTGGTAGTGTGGCAACTCATCTATGTTTATGCAAGACTGATCCATATCTACTTACTTTTCGTAGCTCAGACAAATGCATTGACTATATTACTGATTTACAAGATGATGATAAAGTAATCCTTTTAATTTCAAACGACACATCTGTTCATACGCTGCTACAACAAAGTGAAGAACTTCCACAAGTTGATTCAGTTTATATTCTATCTTCAAATAAAACCTTCGAAACATCGACTAAAATTCGTGGAATTTATACGAATCTCGAGTCATTATGTGCTCACTTATGGCAGCTATCTAACATAAAGCGGTATCGTAGAGAAAGTTCTTTGGATAGTGATTTCACTATCAGCTCATTATCTCCCATACCTGATGCTTATACCACTCCATTTGTTACTACAACCAGTCAACTACACTTTTCACCATCATCGAACGACAGTACTACTAAACGGCAGGAAGCTGAATTTATGTACGCAGGATTTCTACGAGACATTTTAGTTGATCTCAAATCAACAAAAGAAGAAATGATTGAATTTTGTCGTCAAAAATGTGCTGATAATCAAGCAGATCTGAATGTTATTGATGAATTTGAAGATTATTATGATGCTATACATGTAATCTTCTGGTATACACGTGATACATTTCTCTATCGTCACTTGAACAAAGCACTGAGAGAACAGGATGTCGATACACTTTACTCACTGCGATGCTTCATTAAAGACCTTCATTTGCAGCTAAAAGAACGACACGTCGAACAACAACAGAAATCAACAGCACCTATTGATGCAATTCACCAAACAGTAGAAACAGTTTATCGAGGACAGTTAATGACTAATGAGGAATTCGATAAGAAAATACGACATAATGATGGAGGATTCTTCTCAGTAAGTAATTTTTTATCAACAACTGCGGATAAAAACTTAGCTAGTGTCTACGCTGGTAATCGCAGTAGCAGCCAGACATCTGAAGAACAGAGTGTTCTATTTCAAATTGAGATTGACAAAGCCTTAAACAAATTTCCGTATGCATTCATTTCGAAAGAAAGTCAATTCGGCGATGCTGAAAAAGAAATTCTATTTACAATGGGAGCTGTTTTTCGAATACAGTCAGTTAATTCCAGTAATGAAGGTTACTGGGATGTTCATTTAAAACTGAGTGGCGACGAGGATCAGAAATTAAGAATACTGACTGAACATCTGAGGAAAGAGATTGAATCTTTTGATTCTCTTTCAAGATTGGGAAGATTGATGTATGAGATTGCAAATTATGAGAAAGCTGAGCAATATCATCTTTTGGAGCTTCAAGATCCCAGTGTTATTAATGATTTTTCATGTCTGTCCAATATTCATAATCAACTTGGCTGTATATATCAGTTTATGAATCAGCCAGCTAAAGCCACAGAACATCTCGAAAAATCACTTGAAATTGACCGACAACATCTTCCGGAAGCTGATTCAGCTGGAACATATAATAATCTAGGAAGTATTTACGACGATCAAGGTGACTATGAGAAAGCGTTATTGTATTATAACAAAGCATTAGGAACTGAACTGAATGCACCTAATTCAGATCAAATAAGGATGGCAAATTATTACAATAACATTGGATTGGTTTACCACGGACTACAACGTTATTCGGAAGCATTAGAAATGCTCGAAAAATCTTTACAGATCCAACAAAAAATCCTTCCTCCTAATCATCCGTCACTCGCAAGATCATATAACAACATTTCTTTAGTTTATAATAAACAAGGTAACACTAATCAAGCAATTGAGTTTCTAAACAAGGCACTGGAAGTACAAATCAATTCACTTCCACCAAATCATCCAGATCTAGGTACAGCATACACTAATATGGGTCTAGTATTAAATGACCAAGGTAAACAAAAAGAAGCATTAGAAATGCATGAAAAAGCTCTTGAAATTTGGTTAAAAGTTCATCCCATTAATCAATCCAAAATTGCAATTTGCTACAATAACATTTCAAAAGTTTATTTTGCACAACGAGATAATGGGAAAGCTATTGAATATTTAAATAAAGCACTTGAAATTCAAGTTAAGTTTCTTCCGTCGTATCATTTGACCCTGGCAATAACCTATAGCAATTTGGCATTTGCATTAAAAGAACAAGGTAAACTGAGTGAAGCTTTGGAAATGCATGAAAAATGTCTACAGATTCGATTAAAAGCCCTACCCCCTAATCATCGTCAAATTGCTGAAGTGTATCATGGCATATCACTAGTCTATCGTTCACTCTGCGATTATGATAAAGAACTTGAATATTTAAATAAGACACTTGAAATCAAACAAAAGTTACTGCCTGCAAATGATCCATCGCTGGCAACAACTTACCGTCATATATCAGAAGTTTACCTTGTACAAGAAGATAATGAAAAAGCTGTCGAATATTTAACCAAGACACTTCAAATTGAACTCTATTCACTTTCACCCGATGATCCGTCATTAGCTATAACCTATAACAATTTGGGTTCAGCTCTTAAAGAACAAGGTAAAGAGAAAGAAGCATTGCATATGTTTGAAAAATGTCTTGCAATACAGATGAAAGTTCTTCTATCCGATCATCCTGACATAGCGACAACTTATCATCACATTTCTCAGATATACCTTCAACAAGGTAATAATGACGTAGCAATCGAATATCTAAACAAAACACTTACGATTCAACTGATTTCACTTCCACCAGATGAATCATCACTTGCAACAATTTACCATGATATATCACGAGCATACAATGCCCTCGAAAATTATGAGAAAGAAATCGAATATCTAAATAAAGCCCTTGAAATTGAACTGATTTCTCTGCCTGCAAACGATCCATCATTAGCTACAACTTATTACAATTTATCAGAAGCGTACAATGAACTTGAAAATTACGATAAAGTGGTTGAATATTTAAATAAAACACTTGAAATTGAATTAAGTTCCGTTCACGCAACAGATAATCCATCATTAGCCACAACCTACAACAATTTGGCTTTAGCATTCAACGCACAAGGTAAAATTGAAGATGCATTACATAACATGACCAAAGCATATGAACTTGGTTCTAAAAATTTACCAGCTGAACATCCTGATATTATCGAATATCTAGAATGGATTGCCGATGTAGAAAAACAACTAGCTGAGGCTGAAGTAGAAGAAAATAACTAGAAAGCGTCATACTGTTATTTTTTTTTACTAAAGATCGTTGCATGTATAAGTTAAACTTTTTCTTACACTCTCTAATTGAAAAAATTGTCAGAGCAGAGAGAATAGGCATGATACATGAGACATCTAACTCCACTACTAACAGCCCGATTTTTCTCATTTTTGACGAAAATGCATTTTTTGCTCCGAGGGTAAAATGGGTAAAAATACCGAAAATATCGCTCTCCAATAGTATTTCAGACGTTAGGACACCCCGGTCCAATTTGTTCCGAATATCTTATATATCATTTTGTAGCCCGTAAAATTCCCTAGCGAATGATATACAAAATGCAGTGGTTAACGATAAATTCGCTGGACAGTAAAAGCGATGAACGCTGTTGACCTATGGATTTGTGGAGGTCGGGGCTAGTATTTCTAGTGTTGGGACCTCCAAACCCATTTGGTTCTCAATATTATATATATCATTTTGTAGCCCGTGAAATTCTCTGTCGAGTGGTATATGGTAGTTGAGGTTTGCTTTGAGCAAAGGAGAAGAAATGAGGAAAATACTCTGAATAGAGTTCATCTAAGGGGAGAAAAGTTTGGATGCGAAATTTTTACCAGGGGGGGGGGGGTGAAAATGGTCTTTTAAGGTGCTAGTTTTAATCACGGAGAAAACTACATCAGGCCTGTGAATATGAGATTGATCTGAGAAGGGGCCAATTTTGCCTTTTATCGACCCTCGTCCTTTGTTTTGAGAGATCAAGCAAAATCCCTATATTAATTTTTATTTATTTTCACCTGTTTTTGCGAAAGATTCTTCTACTAGTTAAGACTTATGGACAGTAAAAATCACTAATTCGTTTTGTAGATTTTTGTACTTCATATATCTTACAATATCACACAGATGTGCACAAACATTTTTTCGAGAGACAATCGAGCCTTTTCATGGACCCGTGTTGATGTCAGAAGGACCAGCTCCTCTTATATTTATGAAAAGAAAACTAAGCAGGAACCGTATAAATGTGTTCTTTCCCTTGTATGATTCTTTTAAAAACAACACGACAAGATTCTTGTAAAGAAAACTTTTCTTGGACATTCGGACAAAAAACATTCTCACGATCTCGGCTAATTTTACAAGAAACAAAGTTCCATTGAAAGAATGCTGAGATAAAAGCACGTGTAAAATATTTACAACGTTTTCTGCCTGAAATGGCAAGAAACAAAAACCTTAGAAGAATAACGATAGAATATATATATACACTCATTCATTTTTTATAACTAAAGTGGCTACCCATGTCCTTCATCCCGCTAATTTCCTATCCGGGATCCTGTGCGGAATCCCGGATGGGACTCTGCAGGATCCCACTATTTTTTCCGTGATCTGGCTAAATTTCTACGGGAATTTCCGAGATATTGCCTGCGCGTAATGGCCTGTGGAATCGAAGTGCGCGAGCTCCCACGACTCTGTTATTTTAGTGTTTTCGGCAACCTATATTACTGCCCCGCCTACCGGGTGAATCGATGTAGATAGTGAATTTAATGCTGAGAACGAATGAATGGCTCAAAATTAAAAGACTGTCTAGAAAGAAAGTAGAAGAATGGTTTTTTAGTGGAAGCAGCAAAAATGTGTCACTGATTTTGATCGGCTTGTTCTGTTTATTCACTCGGTCGTCCTGACTCTCCAACTTTTGGGATCAGTCGACCAGGTCACACAAACGAATTCATTATGACGCTAGAACGAAATAAATAAATAGATACTGCTTCGCTCGACTCGAGTTCGGTTTGTATTTTCGCAACAACAAACTGTGAAATTAAACTGCGGTTTTTAACTGCTGAGTCATTCTGTAGTCTCCTTAGCTGTTTTTGTTTCAAGAATAAACTAAGAACAAAGCAAGCCGTTTTTTTTAGTGAGATAATCTTGTTTATTGAACAAAAGATGAATTCAGATATTTGTTGTTTATTTTTGTAAAATATGTGATTTGTTTGTTTGCTCTCGTAATAAAGAACAAAGTGATCGAACAGCACGTACAGCTAGAATAAAGTTTCATGGCTTTTGCTCGAGTAACGCTACTGAAATTGTTCATTATAATTCTTCCAAATTGATTGTAGTACTGGCAAAGGATGACATACGTTAAACAGATGACGAATATCCGCTGCAAGTAAACATTTGAATCCGGTTATAACAAAGTACTTAAGGTGCTTTTTTCCTAACATACCTGGTATATCTCATTCAAATATTACGTTCAGTATCTTTGAAACTTGACCCCTAGAATCTCTCTGGTAACAGTTTTTTATAATATTTCTCTGATCTACCGTCGTCCTGAAATTTTTCTTTTATTTTCCAAGGCTGTCCCTTTGAGTCCGGGTTTTATTTTTTTATAATTTTAATATAAAAATAAGTTTTTTTTCTTAATTTTAATGGAAAAAAGTCAAAGAAATTTTATTTTTAATAATCTTTCAAAGTATGAAAATTTTTGAAACATACATCGATACATAGGCCTACATTACATTCAGTACACTCATATCTTGTTTTTTTAGCAATATTATGTGCTGAACAAACTACACAACGTCTTTGTTTGTTTTCTGGTATTGTACTTATAAAATGTCTTTCTATAAGACGACTTGGATTATCCAATGATGGGCGTCCTCGTTGAGTTTTTACTTGAAAACCATATTTTTCAATTATTTGACCAATGATTTGCATACTAAAATCAATAAATGAAATATTTTTCTTTGTAATTTCTTTATATAATATAAAACAATTTAATATTGTCATATCAATAATATGTATAAACAATTTTTTATACCATTTGGTAGATTTTCGAATTGATTCTGATATATGCATCATCATATCAGATTTATCAACTAAACCCATGTTTTTATTATAATCTAAAACGCAGTCAGGTTTCACAATATTCTGGTTTGTTTTTGGATTTATTTTTTCCAGAGTTGTCATATTTGGCTGATGTATTGAAGACAACATGTGGACATCTCGTTTGTCTGTCCATTTCATATACAACAATTTATTAGTATTATAATAAGACATTTGGCCAGATTTTTGGTTATCAAATTTTGGAAGACCAATACGATTTGATTTTACTGTACCGCAAGCTCCAACTTTTTTGTTATAAAGATATTCAAATAAAATCGGACTTGTATAAAAATTGTCCATATAAATAACATGACCTTTACCATTATATTTTTCCATCATATTTGTTACTAGTGAACCTGTAATACCTAATTGTTTATCCAAATTTATTTCTGTAGATTTTCCTGTATAAATTATAAACTGTAAAATATAACCTGTTTTACAATCACATAATACAAAAAATTTTATGCCAAATCTGCTTCGTTTTGATGGAATATATTGCTTGAAATATAATCTACCTTTATATAACATCAAAGATTCATCGATACATATGTTTTTGTAGGGATAGAATGCAGCTTGAAATTTATGTTTTATTATATTGTAGATTGTTCTAATTTTATTCAGAGGATCATTGACATTATTACCATTATTATTATCACAAAAGTGAAGACAAGATAATAAAGATCTAAATCGATCTCTTGTAAATAATTTTCCAAAAATACGTGTCTCCAATAAATAATTTGTTGACCAATAATCACGAATTTTATGCTTTGTAATATGTGACATCAATAAAATAGTTGCTATCATAACATAAAGTTCCGAAACTGTTGAGTCATACCATTCAGCCATATGACTGTTTTTGTAAACACTTGAATTTTGGTCATGATATAAATTTGTTTGTTCCATTATAAAAGTCATAAGAGTTTTGTCAAAAAAATTTTCAAAAAAATCAATTGGTTGACTGTTTTCTGTACATGGAAATTCACTACTAACACCAGGTTCACCAATAAATTTAAATAAGTTTGGCATAAAATTAGATCTTATCCATGAAAAATTTGGTGTGAAATCAGTATCCAAAGTTAACTCACTAATATCTTCACTAATTTCTTGAGCATAATCAATTGTATCCTCTTCACCTTCGGATTCTGAACCTTCAGATTGGTCATCCGCAAAACAAAATTCATATCCAATTTCAACACTTTTTTTACATTTGCTACTAGAACTTCTTCTTGCAGTTGCCATTTTACAAGATAAAATGATTTCGAACAAATCTACAAAAATTTTATAAATATAATTCAATTGTATAATTATATAATATTTATAAATACAAAAATTTACAATAAAAAATGTTTTTTTAACACAAAATTAAAAAAAGAAGACTAAAATAGATAAAATACGTTGTAATAAAAACAAAAAAAAATTTATTGTATAATACCACCCTCTATTTATAAATATTTAAACTGCGTCCTATATATAGGACACCCGGACTCAAAGGGTTAAGATCAATTTCAATTTGGTTGTTATTTATTGAAGTTAACCCTATATCTATTTCTTCTTCTTCTTCTCCTTCACCATATTCTAACATCGGTCAGCCATTAACATTATCAATTCAAATCATCGAATAATAGATGTCACTCACAAACATTTTTTTGAAACCAACCTTTTATAATTTTCTCTCTTCTATTTTATTTAACAATATATTATTCATCTTTTTTTTAATAAAATATTCATCTTAAAAACGTTTATTTTTTTTTCAATAAACTCGACAATATTCTTTTCCTTATTAAATCTTTTTTTGTTTTGCATTATTAATTCTTATTAAAGCTTTCAACTAATCACTGATTTAACACACTGAAATAAATGCTATTCTATAAACTGATGTCGAATCTCATTGAATAGAGAGTAAACCTTCTTCAATTTTAATCAGATCAATAGACAGATTTATATCGAGATCTGAAAACGGGATAATGCCGTCATCATATTCAAAAAATCTGTTCAATATCATTCTTCTTGCTCTATTCAATTAGAATTCAACCTATTTAACCATCAGATTCATTCATTGTCGAGATTTTACATTTGTGGATAAATTTAAATTATAGAACGAGGTAGATCTTTACGATAATTAAATGAAAAATCCAAATGAATTCTGAGAGAGCTTTCAGTACAATCATGACTTTCCGGCTTTCTCTTCGGGTCATGGTGGTGAGAATATTGTGTGTAAAAAACAAATGAAAATAGTAAAAATACTGCTATTATCATTTGTCAGTATCTTTTTGAAACAGAGCTATTAATAATCAATAAATAAGAGTGTTAAATGATGAATAACAACTACTCATCAATTACTGTTATATTCATCACTGCGATTGAATAACGAAACATTCATGTATTTAGCATCTCCGTACTAGTTTTATCCCCGTTTGTACCTTTACACTAATTTCAGGTATATCTGCATAGAACGTTATTTCTTTTTAAAGAACAAAATCAGGAAAGCCAGAATTTTCTATTTTTATTGACATGTTTATTTATTCTATGTTGAAAAGAAGCAGTGCTGACTGTGAATTTATTCTATATTCTCCCCACTTCACGAATTAAAACAAAAATAACTTTTTACACTAATCTGAAGTATACAAATTGTATTATATATTAATCTGTTTTTTTTCGAACGTCTCTTTTAGTTTTTAACATACACAGCTCTCGACAGCACAGATTAAAGTTAGTATGATGTATGAGCTTCACTTTTCAGTTTCAGTAATTTCACTGAAAAACAACAAAAGTTCAACCCGGGCTCCTCTGACATGCGGTTTCGGAGCATCACAGAAAAGTTGGGTATCAGAATAGTCTTAATTTGGAGAAAAGTTTTCCGAAAGTTATGACGTCTAGTGTTGTAATTGAACATGTTACATAAGAAAAAGTTCTTTCGTTAGACGGAACAGATATGAGGCTGTGACTCGACACCATCGGTGATTAGAGAGTTGGTAAGGAATGTCATGGCCCTGGGTTCGAGTCCCAGTCGAGTCATATTTTCTTTCGTTAAGCTCTTTAACATCCTTCGCGATTTCAATGAATATCGTCATCTAAATGCATTATACCTTCATGCAACGACAGTATTATGAACTTACTGCGGAAGTACCAAATAAATTATTATCGTACTAAATTTTAAAGCTTCGAAACGATCGTTAAGGTATTCGGCTCATGACCTGCACAACGATTAATAATTTAAAATTTAATATCTTATCCAATAGCCTTACTTACTAGGATCAAAAATCTATTAGTTTTATTGATTAGTGTCACGACTTTCAGTCACTTGATTAACTTTAATTATCCTATTTGAATTTTGGTGATCTTAGATGATTGTTTTATTTTATTACCACACATGACCAGAGTACAAGCTGGAACTGAACGAAACTAACACACTACATGACTATACAATCATGATTAGGGAACAAGTAAAAATGAGAGAATTATTCCTGCAAATTATAGATCAGACAAGAAGCACTGGTTGCACCCAGCACTCTTGTCTTTGAAAAGTATGTCTGTAAGCCAGATTGAATCACTGCTTTAAGCTCAACTCTGGTTTGGAGGAGAATTTAATGCACATAACAGTTTATGGTCTTAGACGAGTATCCCGTCTACCTCTGAAGGACTAGAGTTAGATTTAGTCATTAACTCTATCGGCCTCTAACAGCTTGTCCGTGGTGTTACACGCCTCAACTCAAATACTTGTTTGGATTTAATTTTAACTAAATGATCCAATTTTTATTTCTAATCTTTTAATATTACCTTCTATTGTAAATAGTGATCACAGTTCAATTGAATTCCTCTTAAATACTTTTATATCTTTTAAATCCAAAATAGAAAGAATTATTTTTAACTATAGATTAGCTGATTGGCAAATGATAAATAATAATATTTCTCTTATTCCTTTTAATCGAATTTTAGATAACTATCTTAATTTAAATGAAAAAGTGATGTCTCTCCTAAAACCTCGGATAAAAGAAGATGAGCACATCTATCATAATACTCGCTCTCACCAATAAACTTTTTGTTACTGGATGCAAGAATGTATCAATATAGTGAAGAGATGTTCAATGACCTTTCTCATCCAGTTTTAACTTCAGTTCCTTTTTCAATGCTAATATCGCCAACGAATCATCATGTTTATCATCACAGAACATCTTAATTTATTTATCCAAGGTAATACTAGATGTAGAGTATGTTTTGCAACTGAATTCAACATTTCACATACGGAATTGACATATGCATCTCAAATGAGCCTTACCATCTAGATAAAAAAGAAAATGCGAGTTATAAATCAACCAACAACCATTTTCATACGTACTCAAAGCACAGACCAGATTTGAACCATTATCTGTCACATACACGATAGGATATCCATCAGGAGCGATTCCATATGAGCGTAGTACAGAAAAAAATGGCTTTTTTTGTGTTATCACCGGTTTTTTGATTGTAGAAGAAACATTTCCTTTCCAGGAAATGTATTTCATATAGTCACTATCTCATCGTGCCATCCTGTGACACCATTGTATATATTACATCATGTTTTCTGTTACGTTCTTTTTTCCTTTCTTTCTCGCCTATATATATACACAGGCATATACTGTACTAGGGTGTGCCTTGGCTTTCTTAGTAAAGATTTGTACATACAAGTGAAGATTCATACAAGTCAGGTGGAACCTAACACCCTCAATTTTACACTATAATCGATGGCCACTTGTTTGTTGTTCGCGAAAAATTTGTACGATCCGGTATGAGAAGTCTCGTGGAAGGTATACCGGACTTTTCTTGTCCCAAAGCGGTAACCTACATCTAGTAGCTGTTGACACAGAACTTGAAACCCATCACCTTCAACACTAGCAAATGACCTCATATCCAACGCACAAAATTTCGCACAAGCTATCGTTACCAAACGTTTCTTTTCGGAACATTTGCGTCCGCTGACTCTAAAACAGTTCAAAAGTTGTGTTAGTTAGCTTCTGTCGTCTTATGCATGAAAAAAACATTCGCTCTAATGTGAATAATACTTACTTTCCATATAGGAAGAAATGTCTTTGGTTGATTTTGTGTGACTGACTTTAGCCATACAACCAGCTACGTGTGCACTTAAACTTCTGGTACCGTTTTTCACCTCATATGCCAATAACTGATTACAATGAATACACTGAACAAACGGTTCATAGTCATCATTGTCCGTCTTTGTTCTTAATAGACTATTCCAAAAATCACCGCTAAAATAGGCGATTTATGTTAGACCGATAGACTTCCTTCTTTCAACAGACGTGATATTTCCTTTATCTTTCTTTCTGCTTGTCTTCATGACGTGTCTCCCATAGCAATTTTAATTATTTTTTTTCAATATGTGAATACGTGATCAACCGGAAAAAAAAAGTTTAAACGAAAGAACAGATCCAAAGAAACATTCATCTAGCTACCATTAGCACTGTTTCTAGCTTTTCTAACAACCAATGAAAATCAAGCTTTATATTGATGTCAAACAAAAGATCCCTGCCATAAAAGGTATATTTGTTTTTTTATATTGCCAATTGCACTAGAAATGGGCGTCTTGCATCCGATAAAATAAAGAGTTTAAAATAACTGTCGCTAGCGACCGACCTCAATGTTGTACCGACGATATATCGTTTTTAGACGAAGCCTTTGCCCTACCCCACCTTGTGACTTCGAAGCCCTGGCCCTACCCTTCCCTGCACGGTAGGGTAGGGTAAGGATGCCCTGCATATCTCTAGTTCAGGCATATACGGGTCAGATGGATAATGTTTATTCGACTTCCTACATTGTACCAAACTGGTGGCCGAGATGGAAAACTTAGGAAACTTTTCAATTTTATAGAGAAGTTCTCGGTATCTGTGATAGATCGCGTTTCGTAGGACAGTTTGTTCCGGTCATGTATAACGTGCACCAGTACTGACCTATCTACAAAAAATGCGTTGGATGTTGGAGCAACTATATCTATTGGTACATAGTGACGCGTCTGTCTAGTATTTGTGTCTCTTTTTAACGTCATTAGCCTTCTCAGGTAGGAAGGAGACTGATTGTGTATGATTTCATGAATCAATTTTAATTTAGAATATTGAATTATTTGCCTAATAGATGGTATACATACCTCAATTTGTAACTTTTCGATGCACGTGCCACGATACGCTCCGGATATAATCAAAAGTGCCTCATTTTGAAGGCTTTGCAATCGATCAACATTAGCTTGAGTTGTATTATCATATACGACCAGTCCATACTCCATAACCACCAGGAGTAAGAGAAGGAATAAAACTAGCAAGTGACGAATCATAAACGATTCATGCTTGCAGTAAAAACTGTAACTAACTACTAGGACTTTGCCTCATTGAATCAGCATTTGTAATGCTGACAATTGTATAAGAGATTTTGCCGTTCTGTGCAGTAGTTCGAATATTCAAAAAACAATGATGCAGGGTTGCATTGCGGAGCACAAAAGGATCGAAACTCTAACTAGTTGCAGTTTTTTTCCCAGATCGACAAGCCGAAGACTTACCACTATCGGAGCCTGGCGTTTTTAATACTGCTGCTGGTTGAAGACGATCTGGACTTTTCTCTCAATCCGCCGTCCCAGCGAAAACGCGCATAAGTTAGGCAAAATTGTTTGTTCAAGTTTAATGTAGAGACGAATGAAGTGTATTGTAAGACCTACGGAATGAGATAGATTGTGACATTTTGTTCATATTCCAGAAACCCACAGTACTAAAAGTGTTCAGAGAGCTGCACATAGTATCAATTACTTGAGCATGTACACAATGTGCACCTAAATGTAGCAAACGGTACAGATTTAATAGCGATCTTCTTAGGCTGTAGGTAGGCATTTGATATGGTTTAGAATAATTACTTAAGCCTTTTAATATCAGTTGTGTGCCGAGAAGAAGTGTACTTGCGGTTCATACGTTTTTCATCATATATATTGATGATTTGGGGAATGACCCGAACTATTCAACACCGTTTTTTGCAGACAACATATAAACATGAGATTCTTTGTGTTTCTATAAAATATTTTATTAGGAAAGACAAAAAACAGAAACCAAGCCAAGCGATGCCCTTTGTATAAGTCTGTTCGAGGAAGCAGCATAATAAGAACAATGACACTAAATAAATGAAAAAGAAAAAAAGAAAAAGAATGCGTTTTCGATGCAAACTAAAACACAGCAGAGATGAAGAGAGCAGACTATGATTTGATAATGGTTCACAATGTTAATAGGAGTATTGTTGAGCTTCCTGAAATCCAAACTCATTGTTCCTAACACCAAGCAACATAAAACCCAGATTCCATGGTGATGATGTGCCTAAGACTAAACTTATTGTATTAATAAGTTTGATACGAGCAGTATGATAAATTTTACATATGATTAGTTGTTTCCACTTCACCACATATACACGATGGATCGATAGCAAGCATATGCTTACAAAGATCAACATTTAGTTGTGAAAATCCGATACGGAGACGGTCAATGTGATCTTCGTATAGTCTATCGTCAGATTGAAGTATAGAATATGTCCGCTGCTTACAATTATTGGAATCATTTATTTATTCTGCGAATCTAATCAGAACCCCTTTCCGTGTAAATTTAAGCGAACACCAGTATAGTAGCAATACATCATCAGTAGGCATGCAACAATCCCAAGCTAGGACTCCTTGATCGACAGCGAACGATTCGCCACCAAAGGTTTAAAAGAAATAGTTTGTCAAAGCTAAGAATATGAGATAGAAAAATACATAAAAGAAGCCCCTGTAAAATAGAAAAAATGGTGAAGATTACAACAGACGAAGGAACAGCCATGATTACGTCATAGTAGTCGGTAGTCATGTAAAGAAAAGTTTGAATTAGAGCAGCAGCTTTATGTTTGTTTTATTACAGTAAGTTCAAAGTACCTTTCGTTTCCATTATATCTTATTTACTCTCTAACTAAATCATACTTTACTGATGTGGTCTCTGCAGCAGATTCATTTACTTTGCTTCATGCAAAAATGCTTTATCTCACTGTACAAATAAAGTAGACAGAAAGTTGTAGCTCTTATTTGAATGTATCTTTATAAGATTAATGGTACTTGGCCTAATAGTTCCTCAACGGATATCATGAATTTCGCCGTCGAACACTTTGGCAGTGAGCTTTCGGCAATTGCCGAAAGTTGGGCTTACTTGAAAAATTGCTGGTGATTCACACTCAACACCCTCACCCACACAACTTTCGACAATTGCTGGAAGTCCATGGCCAAAGCGTACGACGGCGAATTTCCTGTTTCCCTCCACAACAGGGCGCTCTCACATATCTCCGATGAGAAAAACATAAACTGTCTTAATCTTCGTCCTACCACGTTCGATCGCATCAAGTTTCGAGGCCGAACGTATTCGGTAGTAAACTGTTCGGTGACCGAACTATCGGACTGGTGCATATCTAATCACAAGGGCAGGATCCTATCGGATACAATCGTGCAATAAACTAATAGTTCACATCTTGAACCACTTCAGTCAATTTATTTTAATAAATTTATAAAGCTGAGGATGGAAAGACTATCGATGTGGAACTCATTCCCAATTTCACATATTGACGCAATAAATGAATTTTCATACAAATTTCTTAGTGTTATCCTTAAGCTTCTTGCTAACTAGTCTTGGTCAAACTGGAAAATGAACATTTTTATTACTTCCTTTGATTTCTTGCTTCATCAGGGTATGGCATCGCGAATATAATATGGTCTGATAAACCGGCTTAGAAGAGCAGAAGATACCAGATATTACAAGAAATATATGGATCCGTCTCTATTGAGAAGTGAATGGAAAATGTGTGTAGTTCTAAAGGAGGGAAAAGCATACTTTCGTACTTCGCCATACTTCGCCGTACTTCTCTCAAGAAAGAAGTACGAGAAGTACGGAGAAGTACAGAGGAGTACAGAGAAGTACGGAAGTATGCTTTTGCCCTCTTGAGTTCTAATCGATAAATCTCTCAACTGTTTGAAGATAAAGCGATCCTAATCATCTAAAAACACAAATGATGATGAAACATATCTTAATGGTTAGAAAATGGAAAAATGTATATTAATAACGTTAGGAAAAGTATTCATTCAAAGTTCAGCAAGAATACCGATTTGAACTGTGTTCTTTGCATTCATTCGAATATTGATTGATTCACCAGATACAAGACTTTTTTGTATCGAATAAATATATAATGGCCATCGAGTCACCCATGAACGCCAGCCTTTCTTTGAGACGGTGATTGTTTGATTTGAAATAAAAAACGTAATTTTTGCCTCATCCTCTGGTATCGGTAATTGATAGAGTTCTTTGGCCAGAAGAAGAATATCCTTGTAAACCGACTTTTTTTTCATTTCAGCATAGCCGAATGTTGCCGAAATATGATATATATTACCGTACAGTTTAATTAATAGACGTTTATCCTGAACAACAACGGGTACTCGTGCGTACTGAATACGAAGGAATATGATCACTTGAGGGACGGAATGAAGAAGCTGAACGTGGTTCTCGAAAACATGAGGCGTCTGCCGGCGATTATGTGTGAGAAAACAACCGACACCAGGTGTGACACTCACAGAGATCTGCTCGCCCAAACCATGTAATTCAATTTGATTTTGGCTAGACGAAAATGGAACATTCGTCAGAACGGATATACGACTGTAAACTTGATTGTGGGGAGATGGTGGGCTGTCATCATCATCGGATATATCTATAACATGAGAAAGGAGTAAGTTAATAAACGTTTAGTACATTTCTACATACTTTGAATATCAAAACGTTGATTATCGGCAACAGAAACTGATTTAAGGCGTTGTGTTCTCAAGCCAAAACGCATCGGGAGATCATTGAGAGAGGCTGTTGTCGACTGAACGTTCATATAGTTTTTCAAACGTTCCTGGCCATAATACCACGAGAAGCCAATCACAAAGAAGATGAGAGCGATCAATATCGCAATCCATGCGCCTAGAATAAAACAATAAAACAAGATGCTTTGTAGAGTTACATCAGAAAAACAAAAACCTTCGATGAATTTGACAGCATTAGCTGACCAGAACAGACAATCGATGATCAAGAAGAAACTGAAGAGAATGACCAGAATCCAAGATTTATTCCAGACATAACGTATCACAGCCATAAACAGAACGGTTGTGATCACTCCAACACTGCACACTGTTAATCCATAGGCGTTAGTCAGTCGAGATGAGCTCTTGAAGTAAACGGTAACGAACAACGTTAATATCAGCAATACCCAATTTATCGTCTTTGAATTAAAGAGAGACAATGTGATTATCAGAGAAGAAAGAGTTGATAAACACTCACAGGCACGTAGATTTGTCCAATCATCGTTTTACTCGTATGTCGAACACGAAGTGGCGCACAAAAACCAAGTGAACCAGCTTGACTCAGAAGAGAGAAACAGCCAGTGATAATTGCTTGAGAAGCAATAACTGAAACAGACAAATAGAAATTACTATTTTAAATTTTTTATTAACCTTAATGAGATGATCATTAGTTCTAAGCGTAGCTGTCTGCCATACTTCCGTCGTAAAGGTGGTATCCTCTTTGTCGCATGAGCCTGGAATGAGATCCCGAAAAATGGCACATGCGTGAATCGACAGATTAACATCAATTGCATGCAAAACAAAAGAAAATATTCTTACTTGTGGCAAGTGTTGCTAGAATAACCATTGGCCAGTGACCCCACTTCGGTACAGAATGATAAAATCTATAGAATTAGATAGAAGGGATAGAAGAGAGATACAGATTCAGATTTAAGACATACGGATTTTCAACAGCTTCAGGATCATGAATAAGAAGCGCACCTTGGCCCAGATAGTTGATGACAACCGAAGGAAAAACGACACCAAACCAGCTGGCTCGAACGGGCCACAAACCAAAATGTCCTAGAATAGCGAGAAAACAGTATTTCCTGATAGAGAAATGAAGAAAAACAAAATCTGGTTCCTACCTAAGTCAGCAAAGAGAGCTTCGCATCCGGTCACAGATAAGAAGACTCCACCTGTAAAAGAAAAAAAGATACCTGGAAGTAGAGTAAATGGCAACGTCGTGTTTGTGTCTTATCCTCTTTTCATACCTATATGATAGAAGCCAGCTGTTCTCTCGCGTATCAAATAGATAATGGCTTGGTAGGGATTAAATGCTTTAAGAATTCTCGGACTCAACCTGATTCGCCAAATTCCAATTGAAAATAAAGAAGTAAACCAAACGAGCATTATTGGAGCAAATGCATTGCCTAGTGATATAAGTTTATATACATATACATAGTCGAGTCGGAGAATGTAGGAGAATTATGGCAAACCTATTTTTGATGTTCCCCATTGTTGTCCCAAAAATAAGAGAAGGATAATAAGGACGGTAATTGGAACAACCCATTTGTGTAGATTCGGAGCGTTCAGAGCTAATCCTTCGACAGCCGACAAAACCGATACGGCTGGAGTCAAAGCACCATCACCTAAGAAGCCAAGAGGAAAATAGAGTACTGATGAAAGTAGATAAGAACATACCGATTAATAACGATGCGGCTAGAATCGAGACAATGTTCACAAAGCCATGGGCTCTTTTATTTAACTGACTCGATTTTCCAGTGAGTAAGGCACAAAGAGCAAATGTACCACCTGAAATGGATATATTATCAGTCATTTAGAATTATTGGTGCAGAACATTGACCTTCGCCTTTATTATCTGCTCTTAAAATGAATACCGCATATTTAAGCGCAACAACAATGATTAAACTCCAAATGATAAGACTGACCGCTCCAACGCACTGAAATTCAGTCGGATGGTGTTTCTTATTGGAAAAAATGGTATCGAGAACGTAAAGCGGACTTGTACCACTACGAAAGAAAGAGAGTGTGTGAGAGAATTTATTTATCGAAGATAGAACTTACATGTCACCGAAAATAATACCCAAAGAATGAAGTGTCAAAGAGAGAAATGTCGAGGGGGAAAGTTTACTAGTCAATGGTTCACCATCGATCGTCGGTGTTTCTGGTGGAGTTTTTGGAATGAGCGAGGCTCGATGTGCAGTTAGAGGCGACACGGGAATCTGGATATCCAACGGCTTGTCATTGCTTATTGTCGCCGCTGGATTATCGATACCGTTCATTTTGTATTCTAGTTTTGATAAAAATTACTATGCACTATACATGAAGTATCGTCTTTACAGTACTACCTTCGATCACTGACAATAATTGCGTCATGAGATAATATTTGTGAAATTAAATGCTTTTTTCTCTCCTTGTTCTTCTTTTCATTTATTTTTAATGAATTTTAACACGTACGTAACTGATGAAACAACATCGAGAATATCAAATTATGTTCTCGTCCTTTTGATAACAATAGAGCAACGACTTCATCATATATGATAGTTCTTCTTCTTTCCATTTTGTACTGAAAACAATGGAATTAATATAAAAGAGAATCCTTTTCTTGTTTATACTGTCAGGAATGAAACACATAAAGTGTAGTGTTTAATATAGCAGACACGAAGATCTTAGAAACGCTGCGATTCGAAAAGTGATTTTAAACATTAAATTAGCTGCCTAAAGAAGCAGAAACAACCTTTTTACTACTAAAATAATAAATCGCAATTAAATGATAAAGATATGCAAATGACGAATATCGATTAAAACCGATTCTTACTACCTACCAGAGCTGCGTGTGGACTCAAACTTCTGAGCCCAGTCCAGTCCATGGACTCGAAAAGAGTAGTGCGGTCGAGTCCGGTCCGAGGTCAGTAAGTTACCATCAGGGCACATCACACATGAAAAACCAAATACTTTCTAAATCTCTGACTTTGCTGCTATAGAATCATTGTCCGTTATTGTGTAATTGTCTTTTTATGTGTTCCAAAAACCATTTCATTAGGGGTATAGACATTAGCTTCAGATATCAGATCAGGCGTTGCTATCTTCTCAAACTATTTAAGAAAGGCTGAATTGTGATCTAGAATTAACTAAGCTTTGACTGGTAATGGCAGGACTTCTCCTAACTCTGGATTATCTTTTTTGCAGTAAAAGAGATAATAAAAAGTAAATATTAAAAATTATATATAGTACATTTTTAACACTTGTTATCTCCATTTCTAAGGTTTCGAAGCGTCTAAGTGCATCAACAAAAAAATGTACAAGCCATAATAGATGCAATTTATACAGGAAGTTCGTGCATATAAGCGGACGTATGAAATAGTTCGTCTCCCGGTAAGGTATAGCTAGCTAATGCAAAAATTTTTTCTGAACTTATGATACACCATGGATAGCAGAATTCGAGATGAATACGAATATGTAGTTTTTTATTTTAAAAAACTTACAAGTCTAAAAAGGTATAAGTCATTTGGTAAACCTATCCAGCTTTTTGTGTGAAGGACTGGAACAACGATTTATACGTCACCATAGCCGTCATCATTCCAGCTTCGCTTTTTAAACCTTCGTTTTCCTTGATGAAAAAATTCATTTTTTCTAAATCTGAGGCGAAAAAGTCAGAATTCTGCTCGTAATTGTCAATGTTTTTCATCAGAACTAAACGTTTATGCAATAAAAATACCATATTCGAAATTAGGATAAAAAGCTGAGTCGACTGAATTGTATTTCAGAATTTTTGCTTGATTTTCATTTCTTGGCGAAAATCTCGACGGTTTTTCCTCGTGAAAATTCGACAAAAACTAAACTTACGAGGGAACCTTTCAAGATGTAGCCTTCCGATTCCAATGATTTGTACATAGATCGATAGACCTCAGTGAAGCAGTGAATACCATAAAATGATTCGTGCCCGTGACTCTTGAAAACTCAGGTTTCTTGAAAACTAGTTTTTCAGAAACTCTAAATAATAACCAAAACTCTTCTTAACAAAGCACATTGTAGTCCGCAAATTTCTGATTAAAATGAGACATCTCCCAACTATATACTACCTTTCTTTGCAAAGCTATAGAAATTACAAAAAAAGCCCTAAATGTTCATTGTCGGCTCAAAGCTACGGAAATAAGAAGAAATTAATTTAGCTTTTCTCGTAGATTCTCTAACTTTGCAAAGATAGATCGTATAGAGCTGGTAGATGTCTCATTTTAATCAGAAATATGCTTTATTACGAAGAGTTTTGGTTATTATTTGGAGTTTCTGAAAAACTAGTTTTCCAGAAAACTGAGTCTTCAAGAGTCACGGGCATGAATCATTTTAGGGTATTTACTGCTTCACTGAGATCCATTTACTGCTTTCTATTGATCCATGTACAAATCATAGGTATGATTTGTATCGGGATGGAAGATTACATCTCGAAAGTTAAAATAAAACATAGCATGATATTAACCGAGACAAAAAAGAAATAATAGAATAAAAGTAAATTCTAAAAAGACATAGAGAAGAATGAGAGCCATGGTTATCTCATTTTTATTTTAATTCTTTGACTGACACATTCGTCTAGATGTATCTCTCATTACATTCTAATCATTCTTAGAATTGTCTTCTGTTATTTCTTTTCTGTCTCAGTCGGTATCAGAGATTTGACTGTACAATTGCACTATACTGTCGATCCACACTCGTTCTCATGAATGGTACACCACATCCTCTCATGTATATGTGAACTGGTAGCGCAAGAAATTCTCCATCTATTGGTATATCTATCGTAGTGGCTAGATGATAAAAGGTGTCATAGATTATCTTAGACTTTTTGCACATAGGAGACTGTTTTCCGTAGAGGGAAGTATTTCTAAACATACTTTGCCTCAGAACGACTATTTCCGTATATGTGATATACAGAAATATAGCGCAGAAAAAGAGCTTTCAAATGACATATGATAGTTCTACTGAGGTATGAGGCCGAGAGAGACCCACTCGAAAATATGATCAATAATAGGTGTCAGAAGTGATTACAGTTAAATAATAGAGTCAATAATAGGGCTGATAATATTTTCGAATAACAATAATAGTAGCTGGAACGCAAGTACGATAGTGCGAAAATTATGTTCTCATGTTCCAGAACAGGTTTCCAGGGGCCCCGAAGGATTTTTAAGCTTTAAAAATAGGTTAGCGTTAGTCGTGGACAAAAGCTGCATCAGATGAATGAACATAAGACTGATTTGAGCGTAGACAACACATATAACTTTTGGTTGGACACTCAGCAGTACCATCTTTTTCAGTATAAGCACACTGAAAATTTGACCAGTTGTGAATCGTGTCAAATGATATTGTTTAAAAAAGCTCATCTATCTGACTGGAAGTCGTGTTCCGAGTAGCAGACATGCGTTATGTGCTGAGTATTATATCTAAAAACAGCCATGAGAATATGATTAAAAAAATTAGCATAAAGGGTTGTATATGGAGAGTATGTATACGCTCAGACTGACACGCTATCTGATTTTAATTTTGAATTTTTGACTGTTAAAAACAAACGATGTTGAAAAACATCATTTTGTATATGAAGAGTATATACAGCTATTTTCTGAGAGGAAAAATCTGCCGGACGGTGGATGCCTTTAAGATCGTAGGGTTGATGGCTGAATGTTATTTGTGTTATTGTCAAATCATTGGCGAGCAACAATGTAAGAACGACCTTTGCACCATTCTCAAAAACCTATATTCAGTCTATTGTTACATTTTCTTTACGGCCATGCATTTGCGTGTTTTGATACTTAATTTTGACCATGAAAAGGGGATTACAAGTGCTGGATTTCTCATCAATAGAAAGGACTAGCAGATATTTATATTGTATCATTTTAATTTTTCGTTTCATATTTCCATTCTATCCTCCTTCAGCATGCTTCGATTATTTGCCATTGTTTCACTCTTCATCAGTGTAATCAACACAGCAGGTAATTTATTTTTCAACTTAAATTACTTTAACGGGTACAGATTCCCATTGTTTAGCACCAGCAACGAGAACTTCGCAAATCTGTTACGGTGAATACGGATGTTTTACTAAGGCAGCGCCATTTGGTAAGTAAATAAAGCGTAAGCTCATTTTCACTCATATCGGCTCTCTCGCTTAGGAGGCACACTGCAACGGCCTTTTGCTCTGTTACCTGAATCGGTAAGTCACTGAATCGTTCTCGAATGCGCTTAACCTTTTTTCCGCAGCCTTTAGCAATTGGAACACAATTCTTCCTTCATACAAGGTAATGTTTCTTATTTAAGCATCAGGACAATGCATTTGCTTTTTTCCTTGTGTTCAGAGAGGTGCGTAATCCAAGAACAGAAATCGGTCGTCATATCGGATTGGGCACATGGAATGCATCTCGATCAACAAAAATATTGATACACGGTTTTCTCGATAATAGTCAACAAACATGGTGGTTCGACATGATCAATGCTCTTCTCGACGCGGTAGGCGCTTTTAATTATTTTTTCTAATAGAAATTCGTTATAAATCTGCATGCAATTAGGAAGATTGCAATGTTGTCATGACTGACTGGTCTAAGGGCAATAAATTTCCATACACTCAAGGATCAGCAAACGGTCAAGTTGTAGGCGCTGAGATTGCTCTACTAGTCAAATTTATGGAAGGACACGGAGGAAAAGCTGCTAATATGCACATTATTGCACACAGTCTAGGAGCCCAAATAGCTGGCTATGCGGGAGAAAGAATACCTGGTCTAGGTCGAATTTCAGGTATGGGTGAACAAGAACGAATATCTACTTGTATATCAACTGTTTTCTCCTATATAGGTTTGGATCCGGCGGGGCCTTATTTTGAAAAGACCGACGCCGCTGTCCGTCTTGATCCAACTGATGCACAGTTCGTCGACGTTATTCATACGGATGCATCACACGCATTACTTCTCGGTTTTGGTATAAGTATTGCTTAATAAAGACTGACATTTTACAAAAAATTGGATTAATTTAGGTTCTCTAGAACCATACGGTCATGTAGATATCTATCCAAATGGTGGCAAAGATCAACCAAAGTGTCCGCAAACAGCTGGTAAACTTTTGTTGGGTCTCACAAATGCCGCTCAAATCGATTTAAATGGTGTGTTAGTATCTTGACTCTCTTCTTCGTCTTTCAAGTCTCTTATACTTGTAGGTGTTTTTGAAACAACGATGTGTAGTCACTTTGCCGTTGTTCACTATTACACAGAGTCCATTCGTAGTAAATGTCCCTATATGGCATATCCATGTTCATCGTTCGATGAATTTCGATCAGCTAAATGTTCGATAGCATGTGATAATGGTGAATGCAATCGAATGGGTTACTATGCATCACCAAGTCAAGGCCAAGGAAAATTGTATTTGACAACGCAGGACACTAATAGAGCACCCTACTGTGGTAAGGTAACAAATATTCTAAAAAGTTGAGGATACATACTACATTCACTCGACATGAAAAAAACTAGCAAACAGTCTGTCGATATCAATATGGACAGACATAGCAGATAGAAAAATACTTTATTTTTAAATAATCTGTCTTTGTATTTAGCATATCATTATGAAATAGTTGCAAAATCTACTGGTGAATATATTCAAACTCGAGGTAAATTTTCCGTCACTTTAACTGGTACATTATCGACAGAAACTGTTACATTTGACGAGTAAGTGATAACTTGTAACTTTTATAATTCATTTTCTATTCTCATCTTGTTCCTAAGTGATGAAACAACATTCAAGTCAAACAGTGTTGAAACTCGACTTATACCACTTGGCAAAGATCTTGGTCAAATTTTATATGTAAACATGAACTTTCAAAAAACGGGTAATTGGTTATCTTCAGCGTTCTACTCGAATTTATGGTCATTTGAAAGAATAACTGTTATCAATGGCGACAGACAACAGCGGTAAATAAAAATTTAGAAATTAAAGTTCCAAACTAATTGCGTTTTCTTCTAGAACTACTTTTTGTCCAAGTCAAACATCTGTCGATGCAAATATTCGATTTAATAAATGTTAGATGAAACAGATTTACTGTTGTACTTAAAAAGTATTATTATCATCGATAAAAACATGATTTAGTTGAGAAACTCAACAAAGTTAGAGAATGTATAGTTTCTGGCACTTTAAAAAATGTCACAACTTTTTTTCTTTTGCATAAATATGCATACGTTATGCTCTTGTGATACGTTGAAATAAAGCAATTCGGTATGATTCACTTCAATTTGTTGAAGAAAATTTTCTCATGGAATTAAGAATACAATTATTTGGTTCTTTACAGAACACAGAAAAAACTTTTTAATATGAATCTTCTACAGCTACGTGTTCTTCGAAGTGAGACGTTCTGCCAAGTTGAGAAAGAACGGAGACGATTATTTGATAGAATCGGCCCCTAATTGAATTCCATCGACACATACATGGTTAGATGCAGAATGAACAGAAGAACATTTCTAGGCGCTCAGTAGACCTTAGAAATGCTCTCAGAAAAATTGGATTCAATTAACTGTAATCATTTCTGACACCTATTATTGATCATATTTTCGAGTGGGTCTCTCTCGGCCTCATACCTCAGTAGAACTATCATATGTCATTTGAAAGCTCTTTTTCTGCGCTATATTTCTGTATATCACATATACGGAAATAGTCGTTCTGAGGCAAAGTATGTTTAGAAATACTTCCCTCTACGGAAAACAGTCTCCTATGTGCAAAAAGTCTAAGATAATCTATGACACCTTTTATCATCTAGCCACTACGATAGATATACCAATCGATGGAGAATTTCTCGCGCTACCAGTTCACATATACATGATAGTGAAAAACTGTCCTAGGACCTCTTGACATTAGAAATACTGTCTGGAACGCCGTGAAAAGTGGGTGGCTTATTCCATGCTGAGGATCCTGTGATCAACGTTTCTTAAGTAGCCACTACGATAGATATATCATTCGATAGACAATTTCTCGCGCTACAATTTCATGTATACAAAATACTTAGAAAAGTGTCCTCGGGCACCTTGACATTAGTAATATATACTGACACTAATACACATCGATGTATATTAGTGTCATAATCACAAGAGCTCTCTTGTTTTTGACCTTTTAGAAAAAGCTGCAACCAATCTGGATAATGTTTCGAATAGCCAGAAGATTTTTCAAAATTATTTCTTGTAAGGGGCAGATGAGAAACTGGTTGCTTTTTTACCTTCTGGATAGATGGTATAGGGAACAGATCTAACATTTAGATTTAGTGTAGGGCTTAAGTGTTTCATAGCTAAAGCTTCTTTTAGTAGTAATCGATAACGATTACTGTCAGTGAATAGTCTTTTCCAATTAGTCCAGTCTATTGTATGATCATTTTCCTTTTGATGTTGTTTTAAGTTTTTGATTGAAATATAATTTAGGTATTGGTGTGGTGGATTTGTTTCTGATGATTTTGTCGTTGGTGATATTGAATTTATTTTGATGCCAAGATCGTGTATGTCTAAGTGTATTATTTTTGGATCATTGATTATATCAAGTAGTTTGTTTTTCAATGCTGTATTTTGAATGAAAATATTATTATTATTACTAGGTATGGCGGATGGCGGTAAGGGTGAGGTTGGCAGATGTGATGACGTTATGTTAGTTGGTGCACCATGCTCTTTAAACCGTCTAATAGTTTGTCGTATGGTTTTTCCAATGTAAGTATCTGAACAATTTTTACATTGTAAATGATAGACTACATCAGACTGCAATTGAAGTGATATGGGATCTTTTATTTGATAATTATTTTTGATTGCGGGTGGCGGTCTTAGGACAGCACGCAGTGCTGTCTGTGGATCATATTGTTTTGTGAATGTACGTAATTTATTAATAAATGTATAGCTGGGTTGACCAGTATATGGGACTTCCACATAAGCATATTTTATTTTTTCTGCTGTTTGTGTGCTGTTGTCCGATGACTGATTCGAAGTTTGTGTTTTATTAATATATTTTGATAAATGTATGCCAATTTGTGTATTAATGAAATTTACCGGGTAACCGTTGATAACAGCTATTGTGGTAATGTTTAGGAATTCTTCGTGTAGAAGCGAATAATTAGAGCAAATTGCAACAGCTCTGTTGATCATTGAACGTATTATGGCGATTTTATAACTTTTTGGAACAAACGATGACCATTGTGTAATTAAATTTGAGAGAGTCGGTTTTCTATAAATTGTTGTTTCAAATTTACCAGCTTGTTTCATGACGTTTACATCCAAGAAAGGTAAAGATAGATTCTTTTCTATTTCATATATAAATATTAAATGGTGTTAAGAATACAATTTTATGAACCATGGTGAATGTATCATCAACAAATCTGTACCATCGTTTAATACGTGCCTGGTAAAGTTTGGTTTTGTTATGTTTTTCAAAGTGACCCATATAAATGTTAGCCATGATTGCTAGTGGTGAACCCATGCTGACACTATTGATTTGTTCATATAATTTGTTGTTGAATGTGAAGTGTGTGTTTTCGTGGCTATTCTTAATAATGTTTTTAAATTGTCCCTGTTTTTGCATGTTGAACAGAAATGTTTTTTGCTATGACGAGAGGTATGACATTGGTGAGATGACGGTAGTGGATTTAATTCATCTAATACTATTCCAATTGTTTTGTTCAGTGGTACTTTAGTAAACAGGCTACTGACATCAAAGGAAATCATTTTATGGTTCTCATAATCATCTGAACCAAATTGTTTACATATGTCAATAAAATGAAATGTATCTTTAATGGTGGCTTGAGACGTGGCAAGGTGTAGAATATTTTTGGCAAGCATTTTAGAAGGTCATAATTGAACGTTTTTACTGAGGATAGAATTGAACGGATTGGTGTATTTTCCTTATGGGTTTGTGGCAGTCCGTAGAGTCTAGCGGGATGAGGTCCAACTGGTCGAGCTAAATTGTAGTCATCTTCAGTAATAAATTGTTGATCTCTCATGTTAATGAGAATACGGATTAGTCTGTCTTCTTTTTGTAATGTTGAAATCGATTCTAATGGCTAAAATGTTGATGTATCCGATAAGATTTCATCAAATATTTTGTTATTGTACTGTTGGCGGTCCATTATTACTATACCATTTGATTTATCGGGCCTAAGAATTATTATGGATTTGTCATCTACCAGTTGTTTTAGAATTTTAATATCTTTACGGACTGATGTTGTAAAGTGTTGGTTTAGTGACTTTTTAGCATGATATCTAAAACTATGGGTGATAGATCGAAGTTTTCCTGTTGCTTGTAATTGTTGGGGTGTTAGCTGATGGTGAATTATTTCAGCAGCAGATATATCATCCCAGTGTTTATGATTTGTTCTAAAATTTAATAATTTTGAATAAAATAATTCAATATCACTAACAAGTTGTGGATCATTCAGATGATTTGTCGGATAGACGTATTGGAGACGTATTGGAGAGAGTGCAGTCAATTGGTCTTGAGTAAGTGCTCGACTCGATAAATTATGTACAATGCTTTAAGAGAAAATTAGAATAATTGTTTTTCATGGATGATTTTTTATATTATCGTAGTAGAATGAGTTTTTTTGAATGAAGGGTAGACGACTGATTCATTTTATAATTGATTATATCATCAGCTACTTCGATTAAATTTTGAAAATGTTGTTGTGTGAAACTTAGTAGATTTTAAAACACTTACCAGTTTCTCATCTGCCCCTTACAAGAAATAATTTTGTTGAATTTCTGGAACGGCATTATGGACATTCAAACGATAATAAAGAATGCTATTCTTTAACAATATTTCGCAGATATTGCAATGTTAATTATCATTTACGAAAATTAGAATTAGATCTCAAATTCCTCCAAACATGCAAACGTGAGAATCTTAAACCAAAATTCTTACACATAAAGCTAGCAAATAAATATATAGAGTCAACAGCAGCATACAGTAAATGTCAAGAAATCCTTTTACAATCAGAAATCAAACATAAACCAAAGTTATTAAGCCATCAACATCCATATTTCCGACGAATCAAACAAAATCTACTAAATTTCACACAACAACATTTTCAAAATTTAATCGAAGATTAAATTTTACTGATGATATATATAATCAATTATATGATACAGACCATGGTCTTCTAACTCCTAGAAGACCACTGGTGTTCTATTATGTCCGCGGAAAAAATCTGAAAATGCCCTAAAAATGGGGCCAATATAGGGAAATTTTCAAAAAAATTTCGCCAAAACGTACTTCTAATAGGGGGCGGACTTCAAGCACGTGAGGTTACTGTTGAACTACTAGCAGACGACAAAATTTGACCGCAATAGAAGACCACCCTTTAGAACTTAACTTGCGGGGGGGAGGTGTATAGTGACTCAGAAAATGATCATGAGTAACCTGTAGGATCATTCCTATTGTCAAAATTTCTTTTTTCTTGCTTTGCGAATGTTTTCGAAGCATAATCAAAACTTTGTTTTTGGAAAAATCTGTTCGTTATAATTACATTATGAAATACAATGAAGAGAGGGAAAGAGTAAATAAAGATAAATCTTAACACATAAAATGTGTTTCGAGTACGCGACAAAAGTTGTAGAAAAACACAATAGTAAAGCCATTTAATCAATTTTTTCCAGTAACTGTCAATGCTTCGGTTTTTAATTTACATTAATGATTTGAGTGCTGACGTAACGTGTTTAACACAATGTTTTGCTGACGATACTTTGCTATACAATTGGGGCCACGGGCAACACGAACTAGTGCAACCTTGAACTCTGTTCAAGAGCATATGTTTAAGTGGTCTCTTGGACGGAACTTTCTACTGGAGCCAGTAAAACGAAAGCGGACGCCTACAGAAAACTTTTTAAAATAATATCTGTTACTATCCTTTCCAGAATACGGCATCAACACACAAACTTTTTTAATAACTGCTGAACAAAGATTAACAGAGAGTTGGGATTTTCACTAGACGAGTAAAAAAGTAGAGACCATCAGATTTTCAAGTCAAGGTAAATGTTCAACTCAAATGACATGGTTAGATAGCCCACAGCGTCCTCGGTAAAAGTATGCAGGTCCGAGGTCGTTAGCTACGGTGATTGTTAGCCGCATAGGTTTTCGTGGATCCTGCCCCTCTCAGTCCTGTTAGATCTGATAACGTTAAATATAACTCCAAAGATAGGTTTCCGGTCACACCAAGTCTCTGACAATATTTAGTTTCAGAAGAAAATTCACGATCCTAGTGAAAGTTTATAGTAGGCGAAATAACCCATTTTTGGTTACTTTAACTTTTTAATTTTTAACAGAAAATTAAAAGTTCATAATGCAGTCAAAATCAATCTATATTACTTCAGGATTTTAATATATATTCCATTTCATCTATCGAACATTCTGGATATTAATAAAAGTTTTAGAAATCAATAAGCAGTACTTTGACTTTTAAAAGATGTTTCGGAAACCTTTGGAAATAAAGAAATGTTTTTCTAATTCTTTCCCATAGAACCAGGTTTAGTAGTAAATATTTTTCTACAAAATGGTGAAAACCACAACTCTCTATCTATATTCGTTCAGAAGTTATGAGAAAAGTGATTCCCTGTTCTGAAAAGGATAATACTCCAAAATGCTGGAAAATTCTGTCATAACGAGTTTTTTAGATCTGACTAAAGATAAAGGGTAGATGTTGAGGGCGTTTGAATATAGTCTGTTGCGTTTTTTGTACAGAGCTTTAATTTTTTTAGTGAACAATGGTTTGTCCCGCTAGTGCAAGATTATACTTTCGAAAGGTACAGCAGCATTAGCTGCCAATAGTACATAATTAGATAAAGCGGTTAAGCGTACGTCAACGGGCTCACCGTAAGCGAATGAGTCGAGAAAGTTGCCCAAATTATGTGAGATGAGATAAGAATAGTATCCCTAGTCGACTGCCTTACAGTTGTAAGTTTTTCGTCTGGCCAGCTCAGTTTTCTATGCGCGACTCTTGAAAACCAATCTGACGAATGAATGATCGCATTTATGACACAACAGCTAGCTATTCAACGTTAGCTAGCTGCAACATGTTTAGCCAATCCACAATAACAAGATCTAAGCATATTTGGGATACAGAACGTGTAGGCTTTGTGAGTATTTGATAGAGATTCAAGGTAACTATGACATCGGCTGACTTTTCTTCTCCAATACTTGAAGGGGGTATGATATGTTCTCTATCACTCAGCTCCGATAGTAAGCATTGTAATCTCCTAAGAAGAGCATTTCATCGAAACCCATAAAGGGTGTATACTAAGTTCTGAGCCGCTTTGTAAATTGACGTTATTTATATGAAATACATGTGATACATTTCAGCTGTTTTTTGCAGAAGATTCATCATTTAATTCTCTACAAAATGGTATATAGGAGATGATCCTCAGACTTGAGATTC